TCTCCTCCACGCCCAGCCAACGCTCTCCGCTCCCTCCCCTGCCTTTCTTTCTCTGCCACACAAATCACAAAAAAGTGGCAGCTTCAGGTCAGGTCATGTAAAACGAGCAGACATCAGTTTCTTCTTGGTCTTGAGGGAGAATACCACAGGTTGAGGGTACGGCCGCATTTGTGAGATAATGACCCTTTCGTTGGCCTGAGGGTGCTGCTATTGAACTACAGCAAGCACACAACGAACGTCTGAGGGCTGAGATCCACCCTGAGGAAACTTCTCTGGCTCAGGAGACCTATTGGAGACCTCCAGTTTCTTAGAGGAAATAGACATAGATGAGTCACTTGTTGACATACAGCTCAGTAAAGGGTGTCCGATCCTGCTCCTGGAAACATTGATGCTGAAAAAATAACCTTTATTTTGTTAGATGAACTACCCCTTTAAAATTGCAGCGCTGCAATGACAAAGCTATTACGTTTGTGTGTTTAGAGGCCTGTTGGTGTTCAGCCGCTTTGATATGTTTGCTGTTTCTTTACTTTCACTGCCTTTCTGGAATGTAGGCCTAATGTCTTCTTTAAAATAGGAAGGGCCGTTGTTTTTAAGTAAAGAGGGAGGTTTTACTCTTGAATAAAAGGTATTTGAATGATATTGTTGTGTGATGCTATGCTGTTTGCATTAATCAATAGCAGTAGACACTGAGGGGAGCACGTCCCCAAAATGTAATATTCTTGAAGCTGTTCTGCTGCATTGTACTGCTCTGTATGTTCTTAGGATAAGAAAAAAGTCAAATATTACATGCCTCAACTGTCTAACAGTGTGAACTGGACTAACAGAAATATCTCGGGAGGCCCTCAGTGTTGTCATGGACAGTGATTCCGAAACACTGCAACAGAAGGTCCAAAAAGCCAACAATGCAGTACTTTTCATACAGTTGGTTTTTGCATGTGACAACAAACAAATGTCTAGAATCTGCTGATTATCAGTCTATTCACACAAGCACATTAGTGGCTCTTCAAGCAAGTGGAGTTAGTATCTAACAATCACACAAAAGAAGCACAGCTTGTCAATGAAAAGCTCGGCTCAATCAGCCAGCCATTGAAAAGGGAAGAAAGAGCCAGGTGAAGCGGGCTGATGGAGGGATGAGGGAGCGAAGGAAACACAAAGGAAAACACCAGCTCTATCTTGATTTGTTCACCAAGATCAGAAGTTGGGTTCAACCAAATATTGAGTAACTCCTTTCATTTCTACTAACTGTAAGTAACTTTGCCACTGCTGCATGTCAACTCGCAGTCATTAGTAGACTGTCTGCGAAATATCTGCAAACACTTTATTTCGATACTCCACTTTAAACTTTGCAAGTCAACCTGTTCTATACTAACCCTAACCTAACAGTCTACTAATACTCTAATGAGAGTTAGCTGACATGTAATGAGAGCTGGTTGAAATGTAGTTGCAAATTTACTTGCACTTTACTTATTATTTACTTATGGTTAATGCACTGAATTTTCATGACCAACAGAGCTCAATGTGAAATTTGTGTGTGCTGAATGCAATTAAGTTAGATGCCATGCTGGAAAACAATGCTGTGAGGGACGTTTAAAGGTCCCCACTGAAAAAAAACAAACTGTACTTCTGTCCCTCATTTTCATTCCTGTCAAAAATGAAATATGACACTACCCGAACGATGGTCTAGATTTTGCCAACGAAAATTCACCAACACAACAATAAATGTGTGTGCACTTGGATGCACATATTAGATATTGCATCTTTATTTACATGCACATCTTCAGGAACCTATTTACCTGCATGCTTATTAAATATGAATTTGTGCTAATCTGTTCTACATCAAGACTTTCTGTTCACATCTGTCGTGATGAACGGTGTCAAACAATGTTAGAGAGGGAAGTTCAAAGTCACTAACGAGATCAAAACTTATTGTTCATCATCAAGTTTCAAACCCATACTATAGTAATAGCACTCACGTTTCCTTGACAGTGACTTGTGGATGTGCATGTCCTTGTGCAGATAAGAGAGGGGTGTGGAGGGATGCATTAATGAGAAGAGGATGTGTGTCCCTCCACACACTTCCTGATCAGGAGCTCAGCCCTCTCCACTTGGCAGACACTTTGGAAGCTTTTTTGTGAAGCGCATCCAAAAACACCCCAGTGGTGCTGGCACTGAGAGGGAATATCAAAGTCATTTCTGAAAAACAAGCCTGCTCAGATGAAAAGCACTGGAACATTCCTTCCTTGCTCAACTCTCATGTTTCGCATCTGAGAGACTGGATCAGGTAGATCAGCACTGATTATATGCAACATGTGTATAAAAATGATAGAAAATGAATGAATTTTGAAGTTCTTCTGAGTGGTGTACTCCGAGATACCACTTGTGAAAAAGAAGTGTGCCTAATTGTATTAAATGTGCACTTGTAGCAGACTTAAGTGCGTATTTTAAAAAACTGTATTTACAGGTAATATAATATTAAAAACAAAAACCACTTAATGAAAATGCTTAAGCACACTTTTATGTGCACTTTTGTAAAGTTTTGCTTTAAAATATATAAAATGATATATAAAAATAATATTATATAAATTATTAGGATTTATTGTTTGTCATGCATTGAAGAAGTACACTTATTTTGATATGCTGACTAAATACTAAATCACAGGTAAAATATGGATTATAATTTTAACTGTAGTGTGTTATATTTAAACAATGTTATATTTATTTTAAACGTACTAAACTGCAACTTCATCATTACAAATGTGTAAATTCAAGTTTATTTAAACACGTCTCAATGTAAATGACAAATAAAATAACAATAATAAATAATTTACCATAAATGAAGTAATTATAAAATTATATAACCAGATGTACTTAAGTGGGTCAAAAACACTCTTATGTTCATCTTATTGCATTTAATATAAATTTTAACTAGAAAGCATTTTTAATTTAATACAACTAACATGCAATTTAGTTTGTTTAAAACATTGCATTGTGTATATATTTTTAAACTACTGTATATTAAGTTCCTTTTTTAGAAGTATGCTAAAGTGTACTTTTTTTACCTGCCAGTTTATTTTCATTTACTGTTATTATTCATTTATTTTGCCAGTTTCACAATCTCATCCCGTAAATCTGTCAGGCACGGGAGTGAATGTCCAGGAGAATGGAAAATGGAAAAACTTTCTGAAAGTGCACAGATGCATGTACTGTATACCCACTGTCCGGTCTCTGCTGCTCCCATCCCCCTAAAATACGCCCACCCTGCTCCGTCTGGCATCTGGGAGAAGCCAGACATCTCCCACACAACTGACATTCCCATCTCAAATTCCAAGGAACAAAAGAGGCTGCCCACAGCCGGCCTGCAGTGCTCCAGTGGACACAGGGCCCTTGGCAGAAAGCCACTCACTGTCAAGAGGACAAGAAATAGATCCCCCTTTTTTGACAAAATGAAGAGAGCAGGGGTTCACTTCATAAAGATGAAAAGGCCTTTGATATGATGAGGAGAAAAAAAAGCATTAACATACAGTATCTCAAAAGGCTCTTTCCTGTTCACATGCAGTGTATTCTAGATTTCCAGTTCCTGTTTGTTCAAAAAAAATGCTGTACACAGCAGGACACAACAGAGTCACAGTTCACGGTCATGCTTGATCAAAGTGTGCTGACATAGAAATCTTACAGTTTATACAATGTACGGTTTGTTTAAGACCTAGCAGTCATGATGTTTGATCTTTGGTGGATTTGTTGACTTGCGTATTATTATCTATTAAATATTTGCCTTTCGTCGGTGCGCCGATAAGTGACCCTGCAGCACAAAAGCAGTGTTAAGTCGCTGGGGGATATTTGTAGCAATAGCCAACAATACATTGTATGGGTCAAAATTATCCATTTTTCTTTTATGCCAAAAATCATTAGGATATTAAGTAAAGATCATGTCCCATGAAGATATTTTGTAAATTTTCTACTGTAAATATATAAAAACTTAATTTTTGATTAGTAATATGCATTGCTAAGATCTTCATTTAAACAACTCTAAAGGTGATTTTCTCAATATTTAGATTTTTTTGCACCCTCAGATTCCAGATTTTCAAATAGTTGTATCTCAGCCAAATATTGTCCCATCCTAACAAACCATACATCAATGATTCAGATGATGTATAAATCTCAATTTTAAAAAATTGACCCTTATGACTGGTTTTGTGTCCAAGGTCACATATATAACGCAAATGTGCCCACGACGTCCCGAGTTCGACTCCCGTCCAATCAAGGCATAAAAGTCCGTAAATGTAACTTTATAAAGAAAATTCAATTTTTGATTTTTAGCATGTTTAAGATTTATTCCTTGGTGGTATTTTAGTCAGCGTATAGCCATAAAAAATAGCAAAACTATAACGCAAAATTAAAAAAAAAAAAAAAATCATATTTCAGGACGTTCTGTTTGATTTCATCTGTTTAGATGAGAATGTTTATTTACCATAATTGCTCCAAATTCCGGTGTTCCAGATCAACAACTTCAGCTAGGATAGAGTTTGCAAATATCAAAGAACCTTATCATTTACATCTGACAGACAAATACTGAAATGGTGAATAAAATACTGAGTAATACGTTTAATTTAAGGCTGAATAGCCTATGTTAGCATCTCTTGAAATTTGACAAAATTGGGCTTCACTTGTTTTGCTGCATATCACGCCATCTCCTGGACCAAAGGTGATTCAGTCATAAATGGTACACTGATTTTGTAGAATTGAGTTCCTGCTGTGTGGAGGCTGTATTATTAATGTAGTATTTCGTATTTTTTAACAAACACCCTGATGTTTTGCCATTTGATAATGCATAACTTCTCTCAATTTTACACTGTAAATGGACTAATTAATGTATTTTAATAACTAATGTAGAAATGTTACCTTACGTTCTCTTAGTTTTCTGTGTGTCCAGAGTTCAAACCATTTTAATTTCTGTTTCGGAACAAATCAAAGAACTACAGAGGTCTGAAAATGCCCCTGGCTACTTTAATCAAATATGATATGCTTATTTTTTATTCCATTGTGTTTCAATCCAGAGTGAGACTGAAGGACATTTTTATTTCTCTATGTTCATATTTTAGTGCATCCAAGAAAACAATCAATAAATGACTTTATTTCTTTTGAAAGCATTTTTTTGAAATCGTATCGCAATGCAGCCATACATGTTCAGTTTGCTCAGCATCATTTATCAATCTCATCAAAGTGAGGAAGAGCAAGATTTGAATGTGTCATGCCATGCTGTTCAGTTATCAAGCTTGCGCAAAGTCTGGCGCGACTGAATCAAGCTGACAAATCACAACGAATATGCAATGAATTGACATATAGGACAGCAGAAACACGGAGAAAACAAATCCTAAAAGATTACTGATGAAGACCTTGCTTAGGCTGTCGTAGATGACATGCAAAATATATGCTTACATTGTACCTGATCATGAGAAGTAGACACTGTCCACACAGAGAATGAATGCCAGCCTGTTTTAACACTCAACTTTTTAACCATACACTCGATGTTAAAAAAAATAGAATTTGGCACTTAGATGAAGACAAAAACCCAGTCAGGAATGAAAATACTGTCGACATGTTTAGCTCTTGACTGGTCATCCTATTGCTGTTACATCTAAAATACTGACTTGGCTTCAAACACAAAACACTGATGTTCTTTCTAAACATGCTTTTAGAAGCAAAAAAAGCATTTTTGCTTATTAATCCAATTTGTACAGTTTCTAACAAAAATAGTTTGGAAGAACAAATACTACAAGGAGAGTTATTGCTTTAAATGATTAAAAACAAACTGCTGTCAATCATCTAATTAGAATTTGCACCAATGATGGAGGAAAACATATATAAACAACAGATATTATCATGAAAAATGTGAATTACTATACCACCTTAAACGGACTGACTGTTTTGAAATACCGTGTTGTGTAATTGTACATGTTTGCTCATCACTGAGAGATGTCATAATAATAATGCCGCAATCTGGGTTCAACTACTGAAAATCCAGGTCTCTCGTCCGGCCTGCAGAAACAGAACACAACCATTTATTCTTCTTCAATGTACTGAATTGAATTAATCCTTATTACACATGATTCTGTATAATAAATAAAATGATATCATTTATTGCTTATAACCAGTGTTCTCCTATCAGTATGTTCATGTGCAGGATATTAAAGACTGCTAGCATAGTGCACTGTAAGTCATTTGTCTTTTTAAGTTATGGAATGATTGTGAATGCAGAATTGTGCCGATATATCCAGTGAACGTACTTGTATGTCCAGCATTTCCTCATGAGGTTGTACATCTCAGGCGGGCAGTCGGCTGGAGCGGACATTCTCTCTCCACTCTCGATCATTTGGATGACTTCATTTCCTTTCATACCCTACAGACAATACGGAATAAACCAACATTGCTAGAATAAACGCTCATTTTCAAACACCGGCTCACGGTTGGTGGTTAAACGGACGGATGTGCAGTTTGCGATTTAGATGATATTCAATATACAGTATATATGTCAATATTATTTTAGGGGATCCTAAAGCCCACATACCATACTGCATACAGTTCATTTAATGCTATTGAGTTTATTATATTGAATAAAACAAACAAAGCCCAGCGTGAATGTAGCTATAGTGGCTTATGAGCCACTATGGACTAAGTTTGCGAGGTTAAGTTAATTAATATTGTGTATTATTGTATTAGGTATCATGAACTAACAAAGACAGTATTTTTGGTAATGTTTTATTCATCACGGTTAATGTTAATATATTACTGTGTTCTAATAGATTTTTAGCACTTCATGTTGTATAAACTAACATTAGTTAATGTATTATGAACATTCATTATTTCCATTTACATATAAAAATGAGATAGAATAGAAATAGAATAGAGAGAGCTAGTGTTACAGAGTAAAAGTTATTATTTTATAATAAATAAAAAGAACGTTTTTTTAATGAATAAAAAGTAAATAGAATAGAAATAGAACAGAGAGTGCTAGTGTTAGATGGTCACGCTTTTTTAATAAATAAAAAGAAAACAAGAATAGAAATACAATTATTAATTATTATTCAATAACAAAGAATAATATATTTATAAATAAACATTAACTTTGATTGTTTATTGTTAATTCATGATAGCTAAAGCATTAAATAGTATGAATGAATTGAACCTTATTGTAAAGCATCACCACGAAAAAGAAGAATTTCATTTTGTTAGTTTATGGACGGCTATTCAGATTTCTTTAAGAAAATTTGGGAAGTAGTTTCAAAAGGTTTGCTCAAATGCAGATTTACCATGCAAAACTAAAGCAGCAATAACATAGGTTTTCCACTGTCACTAAATGAATACCAGAAAGAAATACAGAGTTCTGGCATGAAACTCTAGATGGCGCAGTCCGATAGGTCTAACTCAGTCTGGCCTAATGACATCATTATCACATGGCACAGCTGATTGGTTCTCTCCTGTATCGGTAGCCAATGAGCTCGCTGCTCAACATTCAAATATATGACTAGGGCTTGCAGTAGCAGTTGCAGCTTGCTTCAGAAACCCTCCACCTTCCCCAGCTCCACCTGTATAGATCTTCTACGAGGTGATTCATGTATGCTGCATGGGGGTTATTTCATGTATGTTATATTTGCAGCAGCGCTTTTTCTTACAGGCTCACAGCAGCATGTTGTGGATGTATTGGCAGTAGCAAGTCTCAGTACTTGCTCTGCCGCAGCAGCAGCGTAGCGGATCTATTCCGCCAAGACCAAATACATTAACATTGTCATGTACATTACCATGCCAATCCCTCCGAGAGTTGTCATGACAGAACTGTGTTTATTGTTAGGCATTAAAAGCATTGTGACCATTTTCAAACATATTCACTTATTGATATATTCAGTCATCAGTATATCACCCAGCCTGATTAACAATAGAAAATATGTCTTGGGAGTAACATAATATGCATATTCACACCTTGTACGGTTTCTGTCCGAGTGAAAAGGCCTCCCACATCAGGACTCCAAAGCTCCACACGTCGCTCTTGGACGAGAACTTCAGGTAGTTCATGCACTCGGGAGCGTACCACTTCAGCGGCCATTTCCCATGACCTTTGGCCTACAGGAGCACAAACAAAGATGAGTCAGGGCTACGCTCTGCTTAAACCCCCATTCTACTCAACTAACATGAAGCTTTGTAATGAGGGTATGTACTGTAGATCTAAAAGGGCTTTCATTCTTACTTGGTATTTGTGATTAGTTCCTGGTGACTATACCTTGTAATAGTTCTCCTCTTCTGTCAGGGCTTTAGAGAGTCCAAAGTCGCTGATCTTGGCATAGTGCTGAGTGACTAAAAGCACGTTCCTGGCTGCGAGATCTCTGTGAACAAAGTTGTGCTCTTCCAGATATTTCATTCCCATAGAGACCTGATGAACCAGCTCTGTGATGTTCTTCATAGAGATGTGTCTGAAAACACACAAAGTGAAAAGCTATTCACAATTAACAGTACTACTATTGTTTATGACTTAAAGTTCAGTCATGAAACTGCACAAGCTCAGTCTCCTCACACGGACCAAAACCAAAAACCAAATACATTAACTTCTCAAATCCATTAGGTGGATTGTATGCAAAGTGTATTACACTCTTAAAAATAAAGGTGCTTAAAAGGTTCTTCACAGCGATGCCATAGAAGAACCATTTTTGGTTCCACAAAGAACCATTCAGTCAAGAACCGTCTCTTTCTTACCTTTTTATAATCTGAAGAACCTTCTTTCGCCACAACGAAACAGAAAGCTTCTTCAGATGTTAGTTAAAGGTTCTTTATGGAACCATTTAGACAGAAAGGTTCTTCTATGGCATCGTGAAGCACCTTTATTTTTAAGAGTGTCGTGTCATTTTGGTGAAATCAATGCATGAAGCACAGATCACACAAAAGTCAAGCCAAGCAGCTTTCTATTGGTCAATTCGCATAACCATTGCAAGCAAAGTCTGCTTAGGGAACTCCTGATCCTGTGTATTTTTATTTAAAAGACTGGATAGTGTCCATGAAATTTCACAGAACAACAGTTTGACCACTGGTTCTTGTCATGTCACTAAATGCAATGCTTACCTGTTACTGAGGGGAACTTTTTCAACTTTACAATTTGTTCCCTTTATTTAACCGCAGTAGTTAACTAAGAATGAACAATACTTACACAGCATTTATTAATCATAGTTAATTTCTTAAATCAAAAGTTGTAGCTGTTGTAACTGTGAACAAACATGAACAATTGTTTTTTTCTGTTAACTAACATTACCACTTTAGACTAGGGAAAACTATCTATTAACTAGCTGCTTATTAGTATGCATACTACTAGAATTTTTGCTGTTTATAATGGCTTATTCTGCATAACCATATTTTACCCAATACCTAAAAATAGCTACTACACCAACTACATTACTTATTATCAATAAGCAGCAAATTAGGAGTTTATTGAGGGAAAATGTGTGAATACGTGATCTAAAGTGTTAGCACATAGAATAAAAAAATGTTGTAAAAATATATTGATAATTCCATGTTAGCTAATGCATTTACTAATGTTATCAAATGAAAAACTAAATTTCTATGTGCAGCTCACACAATGCTACCATGGCTTCAGAAAACCTGGAATACAGTGCACAGTTTTTAGGTATAGCCTAAAATCATAAGTTTTTGACATTTTTAGCTTGTTCACTGTGGTCACTCTGTGATTGTATGGAAGTCAATTGTGACTGTAGTTACTCCTCATTGCTTATCAATGCATATTACTGTATTCACAGTTCAGCACAACTCTCATATGCTCTGTAGAATTTCTAGCACGGCGTACTTGTTCTTCTGGAGGAACCTGTGCAGGGGCCCCAATTCAGCGAGCTCCATGACCAGCATGAGGCTCTCAGCTTCACAGATGCCGATCATGCGAACGATGTACGGGTTATCCAGCTGCTGCATGACGTTCGCTTCCCGCAGCATCTCGTCTTTCACTGCCGCGTTATTATCCTCGTTCTTCAGGATCTTAACGGCGACAATCTTCTGTGTCCTGAATCAAACATAAGGGAAGATCCACTCGTATTCAAGTCATGTCAGAAATAGTGTTTATTAGTGCACATGAACAGGAAACTCAACACTTCTGCGATACATGAGGAAGCAGAACACATTTCCCAACATAATTTGTGGCAAGAAAGAAAAAAAAACAACACATACAACATTGATTTGTTTCGTTGTTTAAACAATTTCAGGCTTTTAGAATACAATACCAATAAGTAATTATTTTGATTGCATTTTTTAAGAGTGAGAATAACGGCTTATAAGATCTTGCATAATGGTTTGATTTACTGACACTGAATATTGACTTTGGGCAGCATTTACAGATTTGATATCCTTAAAGGGGTCATATGATGCTGCTAAAAATAACATTATTTTGTGTATTTGGTGTAATGAAATGTGTTTATGCGGTTTAAGGTTCAAAAAACCCAATATTTTCCTCATACTGTACATTATTGTTTCTCCTCTATGCCCCGCCTTTCTGAAACACATCGATTTTTACAAAGCTCATCGATCTGAAAAGCGAGGTGTGCTGTGACTGGCCAGCTATCCAGTGCGTTGTGATTGGCCGAATACCTCAAGCGTGTGACGGAAATATTACGCCCCTTGCCATATTGTGATGCCCTGTCCGGCCGGAGCGACGAGACAAAAACATTAAAACCCATTATAAACGAGGCATTTGTTGCATCCAGTGGGGACATAATTAGGATTATAATGACTTTTTATGAGTTGCGTTGCATCGCGCCGTGTAAACATAAAACCATGTCTGCATTTGTGATCGGAAAAATGACAAACAACAAGCGCTACTCTACACTGCCCAAAACTCGCGTTTGAATCATCAGTGGCAAATCCTTTAAAAATAAAAAACTTACTTGTAATCTGTGAGTCAGAACAGTGAGCGGAGGCCGGAGGATAAAGTGAGGAACGGCCGGAGGGCTAGAGTGAGCAGAGGCCGGGGGCTAGAGTGAGCAGAGGCCGGAGGATAAAGTGAGGAACCATAGTAACAGCTGATAGAACACAGGCACATTATCTGAAATGCCTGCATGCATCAATGGGACAGAGGGACATGGTCAAACCAAACTTTCCTGTGTTCTTCATGGCACCTTAAATCACAATCGAATGCGTAATTACATTTACTGAGAATTCATTATATGTGAGGTGATCAGTGTCCATGAAGAAGAGGAGAAACTTCTTCCAAGGTCAAAAGCCAACACAGTATATAAATAAAAAAAGAGATCTCTTGCAAATAGGATTGATAATTATGTCATTTACATCATTAAAAAAGAGTGAGACTTCCGGTTCATTAGCTGTGTTGTTGAAGATATTAGGCTTAGGAAGTTCACCTCTGAGGTTTGATCTGAAGTTATATGGATTTTCAATATGACCCTACAAGCACACGACACGATTACAACTGTGAAAATACACAGATTCGCATAGAAACAGCTGATAGAACACAGGCACATTATCTGAAATGCCTGCATGCATCAATGGGACAGAGGGACATGGTCAAACCAAACTTTCCTGTGTTCTTCATGGCACCTTAAATCACAATCGAATGCGTAATTACATTTACTGAGAATTCATTATATGTGAGGCGATCAGTGTCCATGAAGAAGAGGAGAAACTTCTTCCAAGGTCAAAAGCCAACACAGTATATAAATAAAAAAAGAGATCTCTTGCAAATAGGATTGCGGTTTCATGCTTTTGGCAGCCAAACAAATTGTGGTCAGAACATATCATGTTTATCCTGATGTCCTCAATCATTCATAATCTGCATCTTCCTCTTCTTTTTTCACCTCATTTTTTGAGGATGAGGAAATGTAATAAGCTTTATTTTGCTTTGCTGTCCGGAACATGGTGATTGGAAAAAAATTAGATGAGAGAGAAAATTATATTTCAGTGCGTTTGTGGTTACTTGCAAAAGTTTTGCATTCCACCAAGAAACTTTGCAGCCGTTTGCAAAACTTTTGTGTTCCTTGAGAACAAATGCAAAGTTTCTTGGACAAACTTTCCTTGTGAGCAAATACAATGTTTCTCAGAGGAATGCATCATTTTTGTGAACGAATGCAAACATTTTTGGGGGACATTTAGCCTCGGAGGAATGCAAAACTTTCATGAACGAATGGGAAATTAATTACCAGAATCTTTTCTTTCTTGGAGGAATTTTTACTCCCATCTCATACTGTTTCCATCACCATGTCTGTAAATTATTTAGTTAGTTGCATTTTATTATTGCATTTAGCACTGTCTTTCCCTATTGTCTGTGACAGCACTTTTGTGTCACGGCCCACCAGTTGAGAACCCCTTTATTTTCAATTTACACCAAGTTTAATGAACTGTTAAAAAGTTAAATTAAAATCGTGTGTTTTAAATATATATATATATATATATTCAGTGAAACAATTAACAATTATCTGTGGATATTTTAAACAGCACAACAGTCCTGAATGTGAGTGTTTTATATAGTCTGACATGTCAGTGCAATTTAAAGGTGACATATTATGCCCCTTTTTACAATATGTAATATAAGTCTCAGGGGTCCCCAGAATGTAACTGTGAAGTTTCAGCTCAAAATACTCCACAGATCATTTATTATATCATTCTGAAAATGCCTATTTTGAGTGGAAGCAGAAACAGGCTGTTTTTTGGGCCGGCCTCTTTAAATGCAAATGAGCTGCTGCTCCCCGCCCCCTTTTCCAGAATAGAGCTGCGCCATTACAGCTCGTACCTGCTAAAAACATCTGTTATGGTTCTGATTATCATGTTTATCGCCATGCGTTTTAAACCATATTAGTTTAATCTTCTGATATATGGTTTTCTGAGAGCACACAACTGAAGCACACGCACAGAAAGCGGCTGTCACAGCATGCGAGTACTAAACTAAGTTCTCATTCACACACAAGTTTACGTTAAAAACACACACGAGTTACAAAAACAGTTGGTTATGTCTGTGAAGGTAAACAGCTGGGAAATAAATCGCTTGTTCATTTTAGATCTGTGTGGCAGCAGCAATATACAGTAAATAAATCAATAAATGCACTGCTCTCTCGTCTCCTCTGAGGCTGGGACTCTAAACAGTGTTCTGTGCTCGTCTGTGCAGCCAAACACAGAACAGTTAGCATGTTTTGCTCAAACTTTCACCATGGCATGAGAACTAATACACCGTTGTCGCTTGCGAAATCAAAATGACGGTGCCATGAGTGGAAATTTACAGATTAAGGGGCAGATTAAGAGATCCCTTTGCCACGTCACCAGGGGAGCGAGATTAGACGCGCTTGTTTTTGCAGACGCTTGCAGAAAAAGGCTTACCAAAACAAAGTTACTGAGTTAATCTTTTTCACATTTCCTTGGTTGGTGTATGCACTGTGGACCTGATTATAGCACTTAAAACCTGGAAAAGTCAGATTTTCATGATATGTCACCTTTAAAGGCTTTTCTTTAAAGCAATCTGATATGAGAACACATGGTCACTGCTGCGTTTGTTAGAGATGTGACTGTACTTACGCCTGGATCCTGTGATGGTCTCGGGCAGGTCTCGGTGAGCACTCGGAGCAGGCCGTCAGGCTTGTACGAATAATGTTCTACCAGCTGTAACACACAACACAGTGCACATCAAAGCCCGATTCTGGACATCATCTCAGCGTCACGCAGTATTGTGGTTACGCTTCTTACGCTGAGGCCTGTTTCATAGAATACATTGCTTTTCACGAACGGTCCATAAACTCTCATCAATGTACTGTCACGTAAAGCTTCAGCTGAAAAGAATATATATACAGGACACAATATATGAACAGATAGCGTTATATAGGAGGCTTTGTTTATATAACTTAAAGAAGCACGACTTCTTTACATTCTCCAGATGAGCACACCTTTGAAAAGCTACACGGTTCACGAAAATCAAACTATTTCTATATCAACATACACTTTCATTGCACACTCACCTCATTCGAACCATGCACTTCTCTCCTAATCACAGTGTGAGTGAGAGATGTTTCTGACGGCTAGTTAATGGCCTAGCTGTAGCATTCACCTTGCTGAACCTTTGATGCCATGCATCATGCGCAGCCTCTCAACCAGGAAATCTAAATATACCGTGGCGTTTGTCCTGCTGGCCACCAAAACAACTGTCTAACTCTACAAGATCCTCTTTAGGACATCAGCAAATACGATAAGCCTAAAATAACAATGCATCACTTTTTTGCTAATTATCAGATTTTCTACATTTACAGTACTTTTCAAAAGTTTGGAAGTCTTCAGTGTCCTTCAGAAATCATAAATATGACTGTTTTTGCTGTATATTTGAACACAGCCTTGGTGAGCAGAAGAGACTGGCCACACTTTATTTTAAGGTCCAATTCTCATTAGTAACAAACCATTAACTACAACCTTTGCCTCAATAAACTCCTAATTTGCTGCTTATTAGTTGTTAAGTTTAGGTATTGGGTAGGATTGGGGATGTAGAATATGCTCATGCAGAATATGAGCACTTATAACAGTGCAACTCGTTAATAGTGAGAATTGGTCCTTATACTAAAGTGTTACCAAGAGATTTCATTAAAAACATTTAAAAATCGTAAAGATTCCAAACTTTTGACATGTACAGTATGTATAGACTCTGAGGTCTTGCTGAGAAGGTTTCTCTTGACAGGATTTATTTACCTGCCAAAGTGTGTCGAACTTCTTCCCGTCAGGAATGGAGAGTTTGCCAGCCTTGTCTTTATCAATGCGATAGTGCATGACTTGGTTATTATGCAGGAGACACAGAGCATAGGACACGTTTCTGCCATTGTTTTCTCTTTGTCTAATTCTGTCAGGAGGAGAGAGAACGATACAGTAAATGTTAAGCAGAAGATAGAGAATAATTCACAGTCCTTTACAAAGGCTCTTGCAAACTGAGCTCTGGTTATATCATACACAAATCAGCACTAGATGGAGCTGGAGGAGAAAAACTGACGCTTTCAAAACCGACAAGATAGGGTACTGAGATTCAACGTACAGTGGGTGTAGTTGTAGACTAATGTTTAATCAATGTTTTAATATAGAATATCGAAGAAATATATTTTTGAAAAGCTTTAGTAAAAAGAAAGTAAGTTCATGCTAATGACATGATTCTCATGATGACAAAGCCATATTTGTCTTATAAACAAACTTTCTTCTTTTTCCGTTGTTTTGTGCGCTTCATTGCATACGTGTGTTTTCAGATGGTGTTCTATTTAAAGCAAGCGCACACTGTACTGACACGCACTACCCCCACCCAGCACACTGCGTCTTCGGTCACTTCAGGAAGTCCTCTCAAACAGTGTGACAGCGGAAACCACAGGCTGCCTCTCTCTGCCTCGCTTCTTTCACTTCAGAGCAGTCCAAACCCTGCCTGCAATCCACTGCTGACTCGAACCCACACCTTGTGTAGGCTTTCAGAAGTTGGTTCTTCGCAATAGTTTTGGGATTCAAATTTGAAGATGATCGATGAACTTAAAATGAATGTAAATATATATTAGGTTATATCAAATCTGAATCTAGACGCTAAAAATGATTAGAGTGCATGCACACAAGTATGTTAGAATTTAACCACAACTCTAAATGACTAACATTCGTGTAATTAAAGCAAGATATTAAAACAACAACAACAACATATTGCTTTACTTTGGTGACCTTAGAAATTTCAATTAAATGCTGATGCAATATAATATTATTTAAGTAAGACTCTTCTGCTCACCAAGGCTGAATGTGTTTGTTTAAAAAATACAGTAAAAGCAGCAAAACTGTGAAATATTATTATAATTTCAAACAACTGCTTTCTATGTGAATATATTGTAAAATGTAATTTATTTCTGTGATGCGCAGCTGAATTTTCAGCATCATTACTCCAGTCTTCAGTGTAACATGATCCTTCAGAAATCATAATAATATGCTGATTTGATGCTTGAGAAACACTTATTGGAAACTTCATATTTTTCTGGAAACTGAGATACATTTTGTGCAAGATTCTTTGATTTTGAAAGTTCGATTATTTGAAATCTTGGTTACACTTTATTTTAAGGTGTCTTTGTTACAGTGTGATTATACATTTAAGTACTGAGTGATATTAATTAACTACATGTACTTACTATATGCTTAGGGTTACTTGAATGTAATTATGCATAATTAATTGTTATTATAATAGTAAGTACATGTAACATGTGTAACAAGACACCTTAGAATAAAGTGCTACCAAAGTCTTTTGTAACAATCTAAACGTTTTTACTGTCAGTTTTGATCAGCTGAATGCCTCCTTTCTTTATTCTTAAAATAATAAATACGAATACTACTGACCCTAAACTTTTGAATGGAAGTACAAATCTAGATTATATACTGTAGCTAATAAGGTATGTATTCTGGGTTCACACTTTAAAAAATAAAGATGCTTAGAAGGCTCTTCACAGCGACGCCATAGAAGAACCATTCAGTCAAGAACCGTCTCTTTCTTACCTTTTTATAATCTGAAGAACCTTGTTTTGCCACAACGAAACAGAAAGCTTCTTCAGATGTTTAAGATTCTTTTTGGAACCATTTATACAAAAAAGGTTCTTCTATGGCATCGTGAAGCACTTTTATTTTTACGAGTGTAATTCTCAACACCCAAGATCATGTCTCATTTATCTTGTACTTGCAGAGTAAGTCCAACAAGGGCATGAGACTCACAGGAATTTGCCGTTGAAGTGTGAGCTCCTGAGCAGCCGCTGCTCTGAGTCCTCGCGGTCGATCTTGCCATGGAACCACGGCATCTTCTCATGAGCCGTTGTGGCGATGAGTTTCTCCAGCTGAGGCCTCTGGCTGATGATAGCCTGCTCCAGAGCCGAACCCTGCCACACCACAATATATAATAATAAATCAGAAATAGCTAATAAACTGCTCCTGTCTTATACCAAAAATGTGCTTTTATGATTTGTTTAATGCAGCACAGGGGTGGCATAAATGTATTCACAATTGCTGCAAATGTTCAAAAGTTGACTGCAACAAAAACAAAACGTGTGAAGGTTGCTGTGACGAGTGAAACATGCAATATGCACAACTTCTTTTATTCTCGTAATCTCACATAACTTCTGACTATTCAACAAGAAAAAAGTAAGATGGGACTTTATCGATTAGGAACTGGGTGAACATAGATGTAAAAATGTGTATTATTTATATAAAATGTTCACTAATTTCATTAAATTTCAGTTAAAGTTTCAGACTGAAATAGTATTTTCTCATAAAATATACTCTGTAAATAGTCCATTTTTACAGTGTACCCATGAGCAAGGTGATTGGAGGGGATTTGCTGGAAAAGTAAGGATGATTTAAAACATAAGCCAAAAAAGAAAGTTGTTTCATGCACAAGAAGACAAAGAAACATATAGTAAATACATGAGCTCAATGCTCTATTTAAGCAATTGTCTCTGAGCATAACTGAAGTCTCAAATACCAAACTCATGAGAAAGCATAACTATTTAACGTTTCGGCGCATTTGTACAATTCATAAAAAACGTATTCCGAAATAAAGTAAGCATGAAGGTCAGCCTGAACAAAACCATCGGTGGAGCACAAGCAGATTGTACTGTATGAAAATATACAAAAGACATTGTACAAATTCATACAAGTTCACCAAAAAAGTTAGAGTACAGTATGACTCGCCATGCAAGTGTGTTGCAAACCCTAAAAGCTTTCTGAGTTATGAAAGAGCAACTTCTGAGAAATTAAGGTTACACTTTGTTTTAAGGTGTCCTTGTTACAGTGTAATTATACATTTAAGTGCTGTGTAATATTAATTAACTACATGTATTTTCTACTCTAATGAGAGTTAGTAGATATGTAGGTGCAATATTACTTATAGTCAACAAAGTATGTAAATAAAGTGAAACCATATAACATGTGTTGCCTTTAAATAAAGTGTTACCGAAATTAAATAAAGGATTACACTTTATTTCGATAGTCTACTTTAGACTATAAGTCATTTTGCCAGTGCATGTCAACTAGCAGTCATTACAGTAGACTGCTGGGTTATGGTTAGGGTTAGTAGGCTAAGCTGATATGTACTCAAAAAGTTACTTATACACTCTTAAAAATAAAGGTGCTTCACGATGCCATAGAAGAACCTTTCTGTCTAAATGGTTCCATAAAGAACCTTTAACTAACATCTGAAGAAGCTTTCTGTTTCGTTGTGGCGAAAGAAGGTTCTTCAGATTATAAAAAGGTAAGAAAGAGACAGTTCTTGACTGAATGGTTCTTTGTGGAACCAAAAATGGTTCTTCTATAGCATCGCTGTGAAGAACCTTTTAAGCATCTTTAATTTTAAGAGTGTAGTCTATAGTGGACTATTGAAATAAAGTGTTACCAGATGAAGTGGCACCCACCTGTAGGTTCCAGGTTTGTTTGACGTACTGCCGGATGAGCTGCTCCTTGAGGTCCTCAAAGGGCCCGACTTTAGGCTCGGTGCCCCGGGGCCGGTTGAAGGGCCTCTTCAGCAGGCAGACGAGCCCATCGGACTCCTGCGAGTGGTAGTCGATCACATCTATGGGGTTTCTGTGAGATTTTCCGCCGGCGATGGCGTAGGTGTCGTTCATCTCCCTCTCGATGGTGTAGTGGTAGAGCTGGCGACCGTAGGCCACCGACAGAGCGAACCCGCCGAGGAAGCTGCGGCTCTGGCGCAGCAGGTACAGGCCGTCCCCCGTTCCTCCCTGCCGCAGGTACTCCTCCGCCTCCTCTCGCGTGATATTGCCGAAGAAGTACGGCAGCACCTGCACCCTGTCTGCCATATCTGCTCAACCGTCTGCCAAAGCTCAGAGGACCGCTAATAACCTGAAAAAGAAAATGGGCCTCAGTTATAAAATGTTGCGCAGAAACCATCCTAAATTTGATCTTATGATCATCTCTCAAATGTGACCCTGGGGCACAAAACCAGTCATAATATTTGTAGCAATAGCCAACAATACATTGAATATTGGGCAAAATTATCGATTTTTCTTGTATACCAAAAATCATTAGGATATTAAGCAAAGATCATGTTCCATGAAGATACTTTGTAGTGCGGTCAAACGATTAATCGCGATTATTCGCATCCAAAATAAAAGTTTTTGTTCGCATAATATATGTGTGTATATATATACTGTGTATATTTATTATGTATATATAAATACAAACACATGCATGTATATATTTAAGAAAACTATGTTATGTTTATATATTAAATATAATATATAAGAATATGAGTATATAAATGTATAAACATAAATATTTTCAAAATATATACTGTATGTGTGTGTATTTATATATATATACATAATAAATAAAAAAAGGTAATTGTAGCTTTGTGTTAAATCAGTAAATGCAGCGAAGCAGCACAATGACTTTAATAAAACATGTCTAGCTACAGAGACGTGTGCCACTGGTTAGACATGCAAATTTTAAATATGTAATTTACATTTTTGTGAGCTATTATAAAATGTATTTTATTAAGGGGTTTTATTAAGCCAAAAAGGGGGAATAATAATAGCATGCCCTATATTAAGATATAAATAAGTTGCTCTAATGATTTTTTAAGTAAGTTTGGCTTTGTGTAAGACACTACTACTAATAATAATCAACAAACTCTGGACAATAATGTATATATACTGAAAAGTCTAAGAGCAATAGTGAGAAAACTTCTCAATTATACAGTTCTTTCATTATAAATTATATTAGAACATGGTAACAATGCAAGTAAAATGTTTCATGAATTTCATAATTTTGCAGTAATCTTTCTCGTAAAAGTTTCAAAACCCTATAACCTTCTGTTTTTTTCCTTCTTAATTATATTTTGAACCCCAAAAAAGTCTCCGGAGTGATCTACAATTTAGACATTTGGAGCTCACTATATATAAAGTTTAGTTTATATAATGTGAAAAACATTATTGCAAATATTCAGGATTTTAATATGCAAATCATTAATGAATTAGTGTTGAATTATTAACATACATTAAACACATTTATATTTAATCAATAATCACAAACTAATAATTGCCTTCTTTAAAAGAAATATCAGACCACAATAAGACAGAGAAACATCTGATATTCTTGAACAGCTTTGCTTTTTGCTTTTTTACTTCAAAGTAACTAAATAATGCCAGATCAGGTAATGCCACAACAAAGTGAGATATTACACAAATAATTTCAATAGTTTCACTAGAACTTTTGCCTTTTGTTTTCATGATTCCAAATCAATATATTAAGATTTACTATTAGAATATTTAATATGATGCATACTGTTACTGTTTCTAATACAACTGTATAAAACTGTAATTGTTTTTTTTTATTTTCATCATTCACTTAATTGGTTTAATTCACGCTTAATTCACTCAGCCTGAAGAATTCATCCAGTTTAACATCATACTTGAGCACAAAATCTGATGCAGTACATGAACAGACATATTCTTACCTTACAAAGTGTCCGACTCCCCTCACTTTGGACAGTGACTACACATTGCTGTCGAACTGAACAGGATGTGGTATGACCAAAAACTCAGTGGATAATTTAAAAGAAGCTAATTCAGGAACACCAACGCTAAGAGTAAACTGAAACTGAGCGAATACTGGTGTACTCAAAAATTTTTCACCTTCGTGTTGCTGTTATTGTACTGACACAAACTTTTCTACTATTTGTAGACTTCCTCATTTTGAGAAACTTCTGCCTACTTCCTTCACTATTTTTTTTTTGTCCTATATTTGACTTCCTGAGAATGAAAACATATAATAGCAGATATTTAGTCCAAGGAATAATCCATGAGATTTACTAAAATGTTCATTTTGCATTACAGTTCATAACATTCAAAATATACTGGAAAAAATGGTTTTCATAATTAAATCAAGCTGATTTTGTATTAATCAGTACATTTGGACCAAACAATCCTCCTAATTAGCACACATCTATTGAGATAATACTTTAACATGATAACAAGTAAGCAATGCTTTGCATAACATTTAATAAAAACTTAAATCAATATCTGAAGCATGCAAGTCACAACCTTCGCATAAACAATAATAACCCATAAAATAACGCAGAAACGACACTGTAAATTAACATGTTTAATATGTGCAAGGTTTATAATCGGTAAACTAGCAGGAAGAGCAGATGTGTTTGCGGTTCAACCCAGCTGAGATATTATACAAATTGAATTGCTTACTTTTGTTCACAATGTTCTGCATTATATCTGAATGTCAGTCTGTGATTATCACACTTTTAAAATACATGTTGTTTTGTATAATTATAATAAATGCTAAAATAACAGATCTTATGCTACAAATGCCAACACAGAGGGTGTTTCATCCTAGCAACAGAGGGAAATGCAGAGTTGTGCCACAAACAATCATCTGAGAATTTCGCAACAAAGTGACATTTACTGCAAAACTCTGAAACCTGGATCGCATTTTACGCTTCATGATATGTGGGGAACAAATGGTGGCAGCAATTCATTGTCTTTCTTTCTTTCTTTCTTTCTTTCCTGGAACATGCACTTGAGGTTACAGTACAGTACCTGTCAAATGTTTGGAAACATTATGATTTTTAAATGTCTTTAATGAAGTCTCTTATGCATAATGTGAAAAACATTATTGCAAATATTCAGGATTTTAATATGCAAATCATTAATGAATTAGTGTTGAATTATTAACATACATTAAACACATTTATATTTAATCAATAATCACAAACTAATAATTGCCTTCTTTAAAAGAAATATCAGACCACAATAAGACAGAGAAACATCTGATATTCTTGAACAGCTTTGCTTTTTGCTTTTTTACTTCAAAGTAACTAAATAATGCCAGATCAGGTAATGCCACAACAAAGTGAGATATTACACAAATAATTTCAATAGTTTCACTAGAACTTTTGCCTTTTGTTTTCATGATTCCAAATCAATATATTAAGATTTACTATTAGAATATTTAATATGATGCATACTGTTACTGTTTCTAATACAACTGTATAAAACTGTAATTGTTTTTTTTTTTTTCATCATTCACTTAATTGGTTTAATTCACGCTTAATTCACTCAGCCTGAAGAATTCATCCAGTTTAACATCATACTTGAGCACAAAATCTGATGCAGTACATGAACAGACATATTCTTACCTTACAAAGTGTCCGACTCCCCTCACTTTGGACAGTGACTACACATTGCTGTCGAACTGAACAGGATGTGGTATGACCAAAAACTCAGTGGATAATTTAAAAGAAGCTAATTCAGGAACACCAACGCTAAGAGTAAACTGAAACTGAGCGAATACTGGTGTACTCAAAAGTTTTTCACCTTCGTGTTGCTGTTATTGTACTGACACAAACTTTTCTACTATTTGTAGACTTCCTCATTTTGAGAAACTTCTGCCTACTTCCTTCACTATTTTTTTTTTGTCCTATATTTGACTTCCTGAGAATGAAAACATATAATAGCAGATATTTAGTCCAAGGAATAATCCATGAGATTTACTAAAATGTTCATTTTGCATTACAGTTCATAACATTCAAAATATACTGGAAAAAATGGTTTTCATAATTAAATCAAGCTGATTTTGTATTAATCAGTACATTTGGACCAAACAATCCTCCTAATTAGCACACATCTATTGAGATAATACTTTAACATGATAACAAGTAAGCAATGCTTTGCATAACATTTAATAAAAACTTAAATCAATATCTGAAGCATGCAAGTCACAACCTTCGCATGAACAATAATAACCCATAAAATAACGCAGAAACGACACTGTAAATTAACATGTTTAATATGTGCAAGGTTTATAATCGGTAAACTAGCAGGAAGAGCAGATGTGTTTGCGGTTCAACCCAGCTGAGATATTATACAAATTGAATTGCTTACTTTTGTTCACAATGTTCTGCATTATATCTGAATGTCAGTCTGTGATTATCACACTTTTAAAATACATGTTGTTTTGTATAATTATAATAAATGCTAAAATAACAGATCTTATGCTACAAATGCCAACACAGAGGGTGTTTCATCCTAGCAACAGAGGGAAATGCAGAGTTGTGCCACAAACAATCATCTGAGAATTTCGCAACAAAGTGACATTTACTGCAAAACTCTGAAACCTGGATCGCATTTTACGCTTCATGATATGTGGGGAACAAATGGTGGCAGCAATTCATTGTCTTTCTTTCTTTCTTTCTTTCCTGGAACATGCACTTGAAGTTACAGTACAGTACCTGTCAAATGTTTGGAAACATTATGATTTTTAAATGTCTTTAATGAAGTCTCTTATGCCGGGTTCAGACTACACGATATTTTTGTATTTTGACTCCTAAAATCTTGGACAAGAAACATGTCAGACTGCACGTTGCTTCCTGACCATTCATTAACGACGCATGTGATGTCATCGAGAAGGCGGAACTAGCGACTGACTTCTGAAAACAAGAGTGTAGACCGTCTGTTCTGTCGTGGTAGTCCCTCGATGACACATCATACAGACAGGAGTACTGCTGCCACAGCTCCACCAACCTTTCCTCCATCTCATAATTCCACCTAGCAGCACCATCATCTCTCTTTTCTTTTCGCCATGTTTGAAACCTGTGTATGAAAGAGCTTCTGTGCTGCTATTGGTCAACGTAACCAATGTGACAGAACTCGTCGTGGACGACGGAAAAAAAATTAAACATGCTAGTCTTTCTGTCGTGAAGCATCGCAGACGTGGAATCGGTTGTCGTCCACTATGACACACTACACGTGCTGAAACGATGGAATCTTGCGTCCCGACGCCCATTGTCGTTTACGAATCCCCACGACACCCTACGTCAAGCAAATCGTGTAGTCTGAACTGGGCATTATGCTCACCAAGGCTGCATGGACCACTATCGTCAATGTAACTTACGATTAGCATTCATTTTAGGTTGGGGGAATGGTTCTGTTCTGGGCAACACTCCCTGCCCATCCACGCAGCCTAGCATGGATAGGGTAACCCCCTAGGGTAACAGAACAGAACCAACATAAATGATAAATGTAGCAGATACCATTAATGTTCTACGTGATTATTTTAACTACATGATTCAGTGGTCTGACTCAATGATATATTCACTGCCAAGTCCTGACTGGACGAGAGGAGGAGCTGGGGATGGAGGTGGGTGATTAGTTCCTGAGCGAAGCAATAGCTGCTGAATAATGACTGAAGGGACCTTATGAAGGGAATTATGATTCGTGTCGTGATCCTATAGGTAGACGTGGATCAGCTGAGTGTCAGCTGATGCGAGCTTGACTAACATGGCCTGCCAGAACTATCACTACGCTCCATTAATGTGAAATATTATTACCATTTATTTTCTGTAAAATGTAATTTATTGCTGTGATGAAGCATCATTACTCCAGTCTTCAGTGTCACATGATCCTTCAGAAATCATTCTAATATGCTGAATGGAGAATGCAGTGAGTTTATTAGTAATGTCAGTTTGTGAAGTTTCGTCTGCTCTCAGGAGGGGGCAGCACAATGCTTCAGAACAACTGAAACTCGTCCACAGACCACATCTGTTGTACCAATAGACGCTGTGGTTAGCAGCCGTTTATTTTCATAAACTGATCAAAGATGATTTTATCAAACCCACATGTGCTGTAGTTTACACTTGGGTCTGTTATCATTTTACTGTTTGAAATGTGTAATGCAATAAAATATTTTACAAAAAGAAAGAAGTTTTATTTTAAAAGCATTTTATCAAAAGTTTAATCTGTTTAGATTGTGTTTAAAAACTCATTCAATTTGAAATTCCTGGTCATCCATTAAGCATGGGCAAAAGTCAGCTCTAGGGAGTGGCAGGGGTAAATAACTTGGTACTTACTGTATATTGTACATGCATACTTATATGTACCAAACTTGTACTCATCAAGCTGGACAACTTACAAATGGCACTCATTTGCTCTGCCCAACAAGAAGGCCATTATGGGTTTTGTGAAAATCACATAAACATGGCCAACGTTATGCCAAGACACTAAAGATGCTAAATTATGAACAGATTTTTGCCATATTGAGCTGTGTGTTTGGTCATGGGGGCTGGCTGACCACAAAATCTGCAAAAACAAAAGTACAATTTTAATAAGTCTTTGAAAGTTCATCATGCCTCTTTGTATGTTCTTAGGAAGAGTTTAAACTTGCAGTTTTGTACTGATGATCAATAACTTTTTTTTTTTTTTGGATGTCACTCATAGAGGTTGACTCTATGCCCTCCGCACTGTTGGATCTGTCACAGAAACTCAGATTTGCATTGATAACCCCTGTGGAAAATCTGAAGCACTTGTCCATCGGCCTTTCACAGCTAGATTGAGAGCTACACTGTAAAAAATTATCGTGATTTTAACAGTAAAAGATTGTAGAAATGCCACAGTAAAAACCTGTTAAATGATTAACAGTAAGTTTCCTTACAATATACGGTGAATAACTGTAATAGATCTAACTATTAGAGTTTTCGAGAAAGTAGCCTCAGGGTTAACACTCATAGACTGTGTCTGAAATCACACCCTACAGCCTCATTCACTATTCCCTACATTAGTTCACTATATAGTCCACTATATACTA